ACAAAGAGGTCATTTTATAATGATAAAGGTGTCAATTCATCACTAGAACACAATCCTAAAAGTTTGTGCACTTCATAACAGGGCTCCAAATACAAAACACAAGTATTAGGACTGAAAGAAGTGATGTCACTACAGATCCAATAGAAATTTCAAGAAAAGTAAGGGGATATTATCAGCAATTTTATGCCCCCAAAATTGACAGCTCAAGTGAAGCAAATTCCTTAAAAGACAAAAATTATCAAAACACAAGAGGAAATGGGAAATATAATAGTCACATATATATGAAATTGAATCTATAATTTAAAACCTTCATAGGAAAAAATAACCTCTGGAAAATAAACAAAATTGACTAACCCTTAGCCAGGCTCACTAAGAATAAAAGAAGATTCAAATAAATAAAATTAGGAATGAAAGAGGAGAAGTCACAATGGATACCACAGAAATACAAAAGATTATAAGAGAATACTATGAAAAACTATATGCCAACAAATTGGATAACTTAGAAGAAATGGATAAATTCTTAGACTCTTACAACCTCCCAAAACTGAAGCAGGAAGAAATAGAGTCTGAATAGACCAATCACAAGTAAAGAAAGTGAAACAGTAATCAAAAACCTTCTCAAAAATAAAAGTCCAGGACCAGACGGCTTCTCCGGAGAATTCCACCAAACATTCAAAGAAGATTTAATACCTATCCTTCTCAAACTATTCCAGAAAATTGAGGAAGATGGAGTACTTCCTAACACATTGTATGAAGCCAGCATCACCCTGATCCCAAAACCAGACAAGGACAACACCAAGAAGGAAAACTACAGGCCAATATCACTGATGAACATAGATGCAAAAATCCTCAACAAAATTCTGGCAAAGTGAATACAGCAATACTTTAAAAAGATCATACACCATGGTCAAGTGGGATTTATACCAGGTACACAGGAATGGTTCAACATCCGCAAGTCAATCAATGTGATACACTACATTAACAAAATGAGAAACAAAAACCAGATGATCCTCTCAATAGATGCAGAGAAAGCGTTCGACAAGATTCAACATCCATTTATGGTAAAAACTCAATAAAATGGGTATAGAAGGAAAGTACCTCAACATAATAAAGGTCATATATGACAAATACACAGCCAACATCATACTCAATGGGCAAAAACTGAAAGCCATCCCTCTGAGAACAGGAACAAGACAAGGGTGTCCACTCTCAACACTCTTATTCAACATTGTACTGGAGGTTTGGGCCAGAGCAGTTAAGCAGGAAAAAAGAAACAAAAGGAATCCAAATAGGCAATGAAGAAGTGAAACTCTCGCTGTTTGCAGACAGCATGATCTTATATATAGAAAACCCCAAAGAATCCATTGGAAAACTATTAGAAATAATCAACAACTACAGCAAAGTTGCAGGGTATAAAATCAACATACATAAATCAGTAGCATTTCTATACTCTAACAACAAACTAACAGAAGAAGAACTCAAGAACATGATCCCATTCACAATTGCAACAAAAAGAATAAAATACCTTGGGGTAAATTTAACCAAGGAAGTGAAAGACCTATACAAGGAAAACTACAAGACTTTCCTGAAAGAAATTGATGACAACATAAGAGATGGAAAGATATTCCATGCACATAGATTGAAAGAATAAACATAGTTAAAATGTACATACTACCTAAAGCAATCTACAGATTCAATGCTATCCCAATCAGAATCCCAATGACATTCTTTACAGAGATAGAACAAAGAATCCTAAAATTCATATGGGGCAACAAAAGACCCCAAATCACTAAAGCAATCCTGAGAAAAAAGAACAACTGCTGACTTCAAAATATACACAAAGCCATAGTGATCAAAACAGCATGATACTGGTACAAAAACAGACACACAAATCAATGACACAGAATTGAAAGCCCAGAAATAAAACCACACATCTATGGACAGCTGATCTTCAACAAAGGAGCTGAATATAATGGAGAAAAGAAAGTCTCTTCAACAAATGGTGCTGGGAAAACTGGAAAGCCACATGTAAAAGAATGAAAATTGACCATTCTTTTTCACCATTCACAAAAATAAACTCAAAATGGGTCAAAGACCTAAAGGTAAGACCTGAAGCCATAAGGCTTCTAGAAGAAAATATAGGCAGCACACTCTTTGACAGCAGTATCAAAAGGATCTTTTCAGACACCATGTCTTCTCAGACAAGGGAAACAATAGAAAGAAAAAACAAATGGGACTTCATCAGACTAAAGAGCTTCTTCAAGGCAAGGGAAAACAGGATTGAAACAATCAACCCACCAATTGGGAAAAAATATTTTCAAGTCATGTATCTGACAAAGGGTTAATCTCCATATTATATAAAGAACTCACACAACTCAACAACAAAAAATCAAATAACCCAATCAAAAATGGGCAGAGGACTTGAACAGACATTTCTCCAAAGAAGATATACGGATGGTCAAAAGGCACATGAAAAGATGCTCATCATCATTGATCATCAGGGAAATGCAAATCAAAACTACACTAAGATATCACCTTATACCCGTTAGAATGGCAAAAATAACCAAAACAAAAAGTGACAAATGTTGGAGAGGTTGAGGAGAAAAAGGAACCCTCATACACTGCTGGTGGGAATGCAAACTGGTGCAGCCACTATGGAAAACAGTATGGAGATTTCTCAAAAAATTAGAAATACCATATGACCCAGCCATCCCACTACTGGGTATCTATCCAGAGAACTTGAAATCAGCAATTCCAAAAGTCCCATGCACCCCTATGTTCATTGCAGCATTATTTACAATAGCCAAGATGTGGAAGCAACCTAAGTGCCCATCAACTGATGATTGGATAAAGAAGATATGGTATATACATATAATGGAATACTACTCAGCCATAAAAAAGGATAAACTCATCCCATTCACAACAACATGGATGGACCTTGAGGGTATTGTGTTCAGTGAAATAAGCCAGATAGAGAAAGACAATCTCCATGTGACTACACTTATATGTGGAAGTTAAACATGTAGACAAAGAGAACTGATTAGTGGTTACCAGGGGAAAGGGAGGGTAGGGGGTGGGCACAAAGGGTGAAGTGGTACATGTACAACATGACTGACAAACAGTAATGTACAACTGAAATTTCACAAGGTTGTAAACTATCATAATTTCAATAAAAAGTAAAAATAAAAATAACCTCTAGACCCAGATGGTTTCACTGGGAAAATACCAATGTTACAAAAACTTTTTCAGAAAACAGGAGAAGGAGGAACACTTTCCAACATGTCTTATGATGTGAGCATAAGCTAGATACCAAAATCTGACAAAAATATTCCCAGGAAAGAAAATTCCAGACCAAATCCCACGTGAAAAAACTCTCAACAAAATATTTGCGTTTTTGAGTCCAGCAATATATAAAAGGGTAATGCATCATAACCAAGCAGGTTTTATCTCTGGAATGCAAAGTTGCTTTATCATTGAAAAACCAATCACTGATTCATCACATTAACTGAATGAAGGAGAAAAATCGTAAGACTGTATCAATAGATGCAGGAAATGCATTTGATAGAATTCAGCACCCATTTATGGGTTAATGAGGAGGACAACGGAACTTCCTTAGTCTGAGAACAAGCGTATACAGAAAGCTTGTTGCTAACCTCATACATAATGATCTGCTTTGGGAGCTTTTTCCCTAAAATTCCTAAAATCCACTTTGAGAGCTTTTTACCTGATGTTCCCTAAAATCAGGAACAACAGCACAATATCAAAGTCCTAGCCAATGCAATAAGACAAAGGGGAAAAAAGAATAAAAAGTACACTATTGGAAATGAAGAAGTAAAACTTGTCATTATTTGCAGACAGCCCAATTGTGTGTGTAGAAACCCCTGTGGAACTACAAAAGCTACAAACGCTAATATAGGAGGTTAGCAAGAGCATGAGATAAAGGTTAATACATAAGAATTAGTTGTATTCCTAGAGAGTAGCAATGAACAACCAGAAAATGAAATTTGAAAAATCAGTGCCATTTACAGTAATATCAAAATGCCACAAGTAATTAAGAATAAATATAATGAAAGGTATTACACTAAAAATCACAAAGCGTTGCTGAGAGAAATTAAAGAAATCCTAAGGAAGGAATTTGCCATATTGATGGAGTGGAAGAGTCAGTATTTTTAAGATGACTTTTTTCCTCCAAATTGATCCATAGATACAATGCAATCTCAATCAAAATCACAGCAGGCCTTCCTGAAGAAATTGACAAGATGATTCTGAAGTTGTTTGGAATTGCAAAGGAAGTAGAATAACCAGTCTTGTAAAAGAACAATGTTGAAGGGCTTAGGCTACCTCATTTCCAGACTCGCTATAAAGCTACAGTAATCAACACAATGTGATATTGGCATGAAGAGAGAGCAATAGAGGGGGGAAAAAAAAGGAAAAGAATCCGGAAATTGATCCACCATGGCACCAAGACCATTCAATAGGGAAAGATAAAGTTTTTTGACCAATAGTTTTGGAACAACTGAAGATTAAATGGAAATTAACCTCTATCCCTTCTCGTACGATATGCAAAAGTGATTTCTAGATGGATCATAGACCTAAATGTCTATGATAAAACTTCTACAATAAAGCTCCCAGCTGAAACTATAACATCTTCATGACTTCAGGATATGTGAAGATTTCTTAGGACACAAAAAGCACTAACCATAAAAAAATATTATAAACTGGACTTCAACAAAGTTAAGTTTAATTAATACGTTTAAGAAGATTAATAGAAAAATTACACACCAGGAAAACATGTTTGTAATAATATATCTGACAAAGGAGTTCTAGCCAGAATATAACAAACCATAAACCAACAATAGAAAGAAAACCTCATGAAAAAATATGGACAAAAGACTTGAATGGGCGCTTCACAAAAGAAGATATACAAGTGACCAATAAGTGCATGAAATGATACTCAACATCGTTAATCATCAGGAAAATGCTAATTAAAATGACTTGGTGTGCTTGCTTCAGCAGCATATATACTAAAATTAGAACGATGCAGAGAAAATCAGCATGGCCCCTGCACAAGGATGATGTGCAAATTCGTGAAGTGTTCCATGTTTTGCACGGTTCCCAAAGGTCCTTCCACCCTTTGCTCATTAGCTCCAAGGAAATGATATGAGTGAAAGCACAGCACGTGGTACCCAATGTTGAAATTGTGGTTTTCGCTACAAAAAAAATTACATGGTGATTCAATTTCTCACCTTCTAGAATAACTACAATCAAAAGGCTGACAATACTAAACGTCAACAAGAATTTGGAGCCCTAAACCCCTAATTCATTACTGGTTTAGAGAGCGATTAAAGTTTCTTATAAAGTTAAATGCATTTCAGCTCTATGAACCAGCGTGTCTAGATATGTACTCAAAAGAAATTTAAACATGTCTACAAACATATTTGTATTAAGAATGTTTATAGCAGCATTTTCATGATAGCCCCAAACTAGAAATAACCCAAATGTTCAACAACAGCAGGATGGATAGATAGATTATGGTATATACATACAATATAATACTTCTCAGAATTTAAAGGAACAAGCTACTGATACAAACAACATGGATGGATTCCAAAAGCATTATGTTTAGTGAAAGGAGCCAGACACAAAAGAATTCCATTTACATGAAGCCCAAGAATAGGTTAAACTAATCTATGGTGTTAAAAAGTTGTAGCCTTTTGGCGGTTATGGGGATTCATTGACCCAGTACCTGGGGTAAAAGAATTTTTATATGCTGTTTGGGGTGTTAGTTACATGGGTGTATACAATTGTCAAAATTCACCTCACTGACACTTAAAACCTGTGCATTTCATTGTATGTAAATTATACCTCAATTAAAATGTTGAAAAGATTGTCGTTAATGCACAGATCTGCTAGGTGGGCAAAGAACATGGCTTGGGGTCATGCAGGCAGTAACACTGCTTAAAGTTCACCTACTGAAATGGCCCAGTGATGACCCCTGTGCCACGGCCAAACACTGCACCGTAGATGCCGGGAATCCACTCCTGCGGAAACTGGCTCCCACGATCTTCCTTGACTCCTCAGACACCCAGCACGGTAGATGTACCCAACATCAGTACTTTGAAATTGTCTTTATTTTGTACATTTCTACTTAGAATTCGTCACTTACGCTTAAGGAGCCATGTGCTAACATTAGACAGTACTGGTACTGTACTATGTGAATCACTGGCTAGTAACAGCGCCACTTGGCTCAAGTGTTAGAGTAAGTGCTGTGCTGGATTTTCTGTGCTGTGTTTGGGATGTGAGTCTGTGTATCCACAGCTGAGATTTAGATATAACTCACTTGTTCGATAAGGACTTATGACCTAACTGATATGGTACTTTTATACCAATAAGGAAACATGATTTCTTAGTATACGTATGTCCATATATAACTTATTATTATACAATGGAACTTTAAAGTTCATCCTCTTTTCAGATTTATATAACTTGCAATTGCAAATGTGTTTTGTCTTCATTTCTGATAAGCAGTGGTTGGAATGGGTAACTTTGCTTTCCTACTGGTCCTTTCTGCAAGTATTTGATGATCCTTAAATACTTGGGAGCATTTCCATGCACTAGGGATGTCTTTAGTTAAAGGAACTCCAGTTTGCATTCTTTGGCAAAGTGAAGATTTTGTTAGATATGCACTCCCTATATGTATCTTGAAATCTCATATTTTTGTACCTGAGAGTTTTTGAAATTTGAGAACACCTATGTGTTAACTCTTTATTTCCTCCTTCATGTCCCTATGAACACAGCAGACCAGTCTTGCTCCAGATGCTGTGTGTTGTCTCCTCCAAGCATCTGCAAGATAGGAAATGTAGCTCCCAGTCATACATATTTCTTTTTCTGAGATGCTACTTTGAGCCATTATAACAAAATTTATGAATTAGAATAATTTAGAACATTGGCTTATTTTTGTTCCTGTTAATATTTGGGATTCAAGGAATCATGAAGGAAATTATTCAAATCATTGCATTCAGCTTGAATGGATCCATTAAAAGTCCTGTGTGCCTTCAGAGTGCACACACTGTTACTAAGCCTATTCTTCCCTTTCTTCAAGTCCTGCCTCAGTTTTCTAAAGATACAGATACTGAGAGAAAGCAGTAGCCATGATTACCATCATAAAGGAAGTAACAGAGACAAGGGTGGAATAATAACGTTACAATCTGGAACCTTAGCTTTTTGATAGACTCACCTCCAAGTTGAGTGGTGGTAGTTTTTCAGTCTGGTTTCGTTTATTACCAAATTGCAGCCCCAGGAAACCCAGTTAAGAACTCTCTTTTTATTGCTGCCTTGGTCATCTCTGGAGTCCACCTACTAATGTGATCGTAGAGAGTGGGGCTGGCAGTAGGCCATACGCACACAGCAGCTGTGCATCACTCCAGGTGCCCATAAGATTTTTTTTTGTACATTTCTGGGAATATTTGGACAAGATACCTCAGCCACCTAGGGAAAATACGTTGCATCAAGGGAGCTTGCCCGAGTTGCTTTCTAGAGTCTTTCTGCGATTCCAGGTAGATAATTTAACAGGGGTGGAAGTGGGTAGCAGAACCATGGGAGATGAGACGAAAACAGGAGGGAGTGTCTTTGGGGACAGCAGCTGTGAGGATTGACATAGGATGCTCACTAGAGTGGAAATCCCTCACCAGAATGCTGAGCTAGACCATATTTGAGCCCCATGTTTGGCTCCTTCATGCTTCGGACGTACTTTGGCCCCTTTCTTGTGTCTCATCTTGTATATGAGTAGGGTCAGGCACCCAGATTTTAGATGTGGAAGCTTCCAGGCTCCCCTCCCTTATCATACTAGGAGACTTGGAGCTACTTCAGTGAGGAACACTTGATAGATTTGCCAATAAAATTCATACTCCCCAATTCCCTCAGAAAAGAAACTTTAAAAAACAGTACCATAAAATTGAACTATCCGGTAATACCATTGACCTCACATATTAAAATAATTGCTCAGGTCTGTGTGTCCAGGCCTGGTCATCTATTACTCTCTTCTGTTGCTCTATGGAAATGTTGACATCTTTTTAAGATTTTTTTAGCCTTTAATGGTACAGTGATTGATTTTAACAATTTCCATATTTGACATTGTTTTTGATCTTCTTTTTACTTTGTTTCCTGCTTTTTGCATTCTCCTCCCTGCCCCTCCTTTTCTTCATCCCATTTTTAATTGTTGGGTTGTTTTGTTTATGTGTCTGTGTGTCATTTATTTTTGGTTTCTTTTGGTCTGGTGTCTTCTCCTTTCTTCTGTTCCCTACCTCCTGCTGCTGTAGCCCCACAGGCTGTGGAAGCTGGCCGAGCAGGTAGGGGATTTTCCTCTTCATCCTCACTGGTGCCTCCCTACTACCTCTGTCTTGACAGCTTCCAGCAGTGGACAGACTAGAAGTTGAGTGCAGAGATTGACTAGGGGTTTATAGACCCTGTGGTCAAGAGGACTGAGGGCCAGCGGAATGTCCTTTCTCAGATCTCTTCAAACGTTTCACACTTATGACAGACGCTGGACTTCCATTGTACATGATCAGTGGTTTCTTGGCCAGTTTGGGGTCATCTTGTTTTACTTCATTTTCCACTTTTAGTGACCTGTTTTCTGATTTATTTTTTAATTGGCCTTCTATGGTTATGTGTTTGCATTACTCAGCACATCAAACCACTTCTCCACTCAGCGCTGGTCTGTAACACAGCTCCACGCAAGTCGTAGGTTAGAAAGAATGTTCTTTGCATTATACATAGCATAAGCTCCCACCTGGAGGCTGATTGCATGTGCTTTCTCTGTCTTGGTGGTGAGATACCAATGACCAGAGCTGTTGAGTAGGATATTATGTTTTAATGAGGTGTCTTTATTTTTATCTTTTTCTTACATTTAAACATGCCTTTGGTACAAGATAAAGATTCTCTCCTGAAGAGTTTTAGTGTAGTTCTTCAAATAAATTCTGAGGGGCTCCCTTGTTTTTTGGCAAATTTGTTTTTAGGTTCCATCTTTTCCTACACAAGGTATTGCATTGCCTTCCCAAGAAATGTATGCAGAATTTTGGTTTGTAAGGTGGCTTTAATGATGTTGTTCTTACATGGACAGAGATCACTGGTCAGAAGTCAACTCAGCATATGTTGTGAAGAGATCTATGGTGCCAAAATCAGATTTCTGGACCCCCATGTTACACAAATAGTCAGATAGCTCAGACCGCAAAGTGCTGCCCTCTGACCTGAGACACACACAAAGCCTCTGTGACCTGCGTCACAGCAAGGACATCCTCCCTCGGCCAGCGGAAGCCAGGCCAAGTAGGACTAAAAGGACAAGATAATTGTCTTTTTTCTCTTCCTCCTCAATCTGTCAGCTCAGGTCACATGTTCTGCTTCAGTATCTTGAGTCTAAAAATAGACCTTTTTGGATAGATAGAATAAAATTTCTCAGCAAATGATGCTTGATCCTTGACAGCCTGCTTTTGCCAGCCAGACGTAGTCGCAGCAGCTCCAGCCTTCTTTTATTTGGCAAGACGTGTCGCATGCCTCTTTTCTTTTTATCAGTGGGATTGACAGTCAAGCCATGTGCAAGTCCAGGATTATCCTAATAAGATGCTCCTGTTGGGATTTAGGTTATCAAATTGAAAGTTAACCAGAATCATGGAGAGGGTGGTTTAGTGCTTTTAGTTTTTGTTTAGTTTCATATTTTTACCAAAGAAATGCTTACCAGCTGGTGGGAGGCACAGACCTGCATTCCTGCCCTGCAGACATGGGTTAACCGCACTGTGTCCTTGCTTGCAGGGGACCTCGGGACCTGACCCCACCACTGTCTACGTTGACATGAGAGCTCTAAGACACGACAGGTACGGTACTTGTGGTTCTGTTCTCTGGGCTCCTGGGCACACAGGTACCCTCCAGCAAAGGAGGAGCCGTGCTTATCTGCTCCAGGCGGTTATCTTGCAAATAAGTGTGGAGTTGGGCATGTTGGTGGACCTGTAGCATCTCTCCACCTTCTGTTTTGTTAACATGCCCAATAGAGCAATCAAGGCTGTGTTTTGAGAGGCAGTGAAAACTGTTGTGACATAGCGGTGTGTTGCTGTTTCTAATAGTCTGACCAGAAGCACCTGGTTGTTTTCCTTGGCCATTTTAGTCAGGCACACTTTGCACCTCGTAAAATATCAACACTCTGCCCACATTTCTTTACATGAATTGAAATTTTGTCAAGGCATTTCCATGAAAAACTAAAATAATAGTGAGGTTGCCTTTTTTGTGCAGCTTCCTTGAGCAAGATTGAAAAGTGGTATTATTGGTGAGTGTTTGTAATTTCGTGTCAGGGGAGAGAAGGGGCAGAGGTGGAAGCAAGATGAGAAGCCTTTAGAGGGATTTCTGCCCCAATGAGGAGGACCTATTAAAATGCCTAAGTGGGAGAGAATTTTATTGTTTTTCTATAGACTTTCCCCATTGAATAGATTACTCCTGTTCAGTAACTATGGAGACACCCTTTCATTGTTGTTTATAGGATGTGACTAGTAATAAAGCGAGGTGTCTCCTTTCCTAAATTACTAGCAGATGCTCAATGAATGTGTTGCTATGGCCAGTTACTGTGGTACTCACTTTGCATTTTCTCAGTCGCTTACCTGCCGACATGTGTCATTGTGCCCTACAAAGCGTGGACAAATGGAACAAGAGGGTTGTAGAGCTAGTAGGGGGAGTAAAATGCAGAGACCCAACCCCGGCCCGGCTGAGCCGATGGCCTGAGTGTCTTCTTCAGTGACACTGAATCCATGTGTGAATGTGTTGGGGGGCAGGGTTCTGAAGGCTGAGGAGGGGTCCAGGTGGGCTATGCACTCTCCTGCCAGCCTGGGGAATACCATCTACATGCACACGAAGGTTCAACATGGCACTTGTGCCCCAGCGGCCATCTGGCCATGTCTGGTTAGCATGATTTGGGAGTAATACTGGCCTCGGGGCTGGAGGCCAGGGATGCAGCTCAGCATCAGACAGGGCACAGGACACCCTCCCCCCCAACAATGACCAAAATGCCAATAGTGCTGAGATTGAGAAACCCTGCATACACCTAGTCCTCTCTCACTTGGAGGTTGTCTGCCTGGCCCCTGCAGCCCTCATTTTAGACTCTACTGTTCAAAGAGAATCACAGAAGGTTAGAGCCCATCTGGTGGGAGCCCCTCCTGGGAGGCTGAGGGCAGAGAGCATGGCTGGCCCACCAAGAACACACCAGCTGCACAGTAGCAAAGTCCCATGGAGAACATTTCCAGAAGTCAAAAACTTAGTTCGAAGATGTTAAGTAACTTGTTCTAAGGGCAGACGTAGTTCCAAGTATAACTTATGGGCTTAAACAAATCTACTTTACACCCTATAAAAGTTATTTGAAAATGTTAATTTTATAACTTCAAAAACGGAACAATAGCTCATCAAAGAATCTCTGTTTGAGTAACATTTATGCAGTTCTGTCTATGCCCTGCACTTGACACACATGAAGAAACAGGACAGTTTATCTCATTTTGTGTTACCAGTGTCCTGGACTATCAGAGATGGCAGAGAGTGGAGACATGGGGGTGTACTGGACTATTGGGAATGGCAGAGTGTGGGGACATGGGGACGTCCCAGTTTGTTGGGGACGGCAGAGAGTGGGCAAGTGGGGATGTCCTGGACTGTCAGAGATGGCGGAGAGCAGAGACTTGGGGATTTTCTTTCCTGGAAAAGGACAGAAATCTCAAGAACTCATTTCTAACAAGTTTGTGACCTACTTTTTCACTGTCTTCTCTGTGGCAAATCTTCCTATCGAGAAAATCTATGATTTAGGAAAAGTGTAATGAAATTGGAACCAGTACAGTGTATGATGGTAATAAAGGTTCAATAAGAGATCAATATCATTGTTCAAGAAAGAGCCCAGAGGGGCTGACCTGGTGACATAGCAGTTGGGTTCATGTGCTCTGCTTCAGCAGGGCCCAGGGTTTGCCAGTTCAGGTCCTGGGCACAGATCTACACACCGTTTGTCAAGCCATGCTGTGGTAGGCACCCACACATAAAATAGAGGAAGGTGGGCACAGATATTAGCTCAGGGCCAATCTTCCTCAACAAAAAGAGGAGGATTGGCAGTGGATGTTAGCTCAGGGCTAATCTTCCTCCAAAAAAAAAAAAAAATGCCCAGAAGCCTGAGTCCTAGTAAAAGTTTCTTGATGATTTACTAATTCTTTGACCTTGGCAAGTTCATAATCCTTTTAAGTCACACTTTGTCCTAATCTGCAAAATAATCTCTAATACATACTTTTCCCTGACTAGGTTGTCCAAAATGGAAGTAAAAGTGCTTTGTGACCTGGAAATTGCTGTGCAGTTATGTGTTATTAAAGATAGCCATTGGGGGGCCAGCCCTGTGGCACAGTGGTTAAGTTCGTGTGCTCTGCTTTGGTGGCCTGGGATTCACCAGTTCGGATCCTGGGCACAAACCTACACACCACTCATCAAGCCATGCTGACGTGGCACCCCACAAAGAAGAACCAGAAGGACTTACAACTAGGATATACAACTATGTACTGGGGCTTTGGGGAGAAAAAAAGAAAAAAGAGGAAGATTGACAACAGATGTTAGCTCAGGACCAATTCTCCTCGCAAAAAAAAAAAAAAACCTAGCCATGGGTAATATCATTGATCTTTCCAATTAATGGTGATGTTGATTAGCATCAGAGTGATCAGGACACATCAGACACCCCCCTTCCTCCGTCCCCCCATCCCAGCCACTCAGAGAAAGTCTTCAGAATCGTGTCTGTACCCTTGTCGACCCCCTGGTTCGGTCACCCCCCTCCACCCCAGGAGCGCTCTCCCAGACTCGAACCTCATATTCCCAGTTCTCTCTCCTGTGTCAGAGGACAGATGTGCCTGGGAGCTGAGGGGAGCACATCAGACACCGGAATGTTTGTACTGGACTTACCTCCTCTTCATCTTCTTCAGCGTTTGACTTACAAAAGGCACAGCAGAACCCTGCCTGGAACATGATGTGGCAATTCCTTCAACATGGTTCCTGTCCAGAACTTCCCAGTCACCAACCGGGAGCCTCCTCTTCCCTTGGATGCTCTCCCTTTTTCTGTGTTCAGGACCATCATTAGAGGCATGGTCCTTTCACCTGGCTGGCTGGGTCGCTGGCTGTGGTGCTGCTCAGGCTGAGGTCCTGCCCAGGGCTGGGTCGTCATCCCTTCTGTCCTGCTGGGCTGCCCTCTGAAGGTGACAGAGCCTCAAGGAACCTCCATCTTTGCCTTACCTGTTAGTTTCTCCTCCTTACCTTCCTGCCCACACCCAGCTAAGCTCTTCCCGCCCTGTGAGCCTTGCCCCTGTGCCTCTCCTGTTTCTGCATCTTCTCTCCTATCTGTTGAAATTATCCTCGTGCTCAAGCCCAGCTCAAATACCATCTTCTCTGAATATTCCCTGGTGGAAATATCTAGCTTGAAGTCTCCAGCATCACTTCTGACCTTGGTGAACACGTCAAATGTACCTTATGCTGCAGCTGATGTGGCATAGAGGCTCTGGGGTCTGACCGATCAGGGTTCAAATCTCCTTCCTCCTCTGTCCTTGGACAAGCTCCATGACCTCGGTTTCCTGTGCTCAGAATGGGTGCAGTAAAACCAGCCTCCCAGGGGACCCATGAGGACTAAATAAGAGGTGCCATGAGGTGCCAGCAGGGGTGGAAGCTGATGCTGAGAGTGAGTTGGGCAGAGGGCTATCATTCCCTCAGGGAGGTGATGGTCTTCCCCACAGAGAACTCACCTCTTCTGTCCCACGGCACCAGGTGCTTCCCCCAGAGAGAGCGACCCAGGGGACAGAAGGAAAGCCCCAGCTGAGAGGCCGGCAAAACAGGAGAGCCTTTAAAAACGTTGACTTGTCTCTTTCTTGTCACTATGTCCATTAAAAACGTGGGGCTGTTGTCCTTCTCACTTCAGCTGTGTTGAGTCAGTCACAGGATTAATGACTCCCTGTTGCTTTAGGACATTCACCGGGGAGCCCCAAGGCACCTGCCCAGTTATCACTTAATTAACCTTGAGGTTAACTTGTCAGTAGGTGTGTGCAGTTTCCCTGAGAAAGAGAGCCTCCGTGTGTGTGTGTGCGTGCACGCATTGGTGTGAGAGAGACAGACAGATGACAGAGAGGAATGGCTTGGTGGAGGCCTGTGGTCAAATAGGTTTCCCAAATTGTTTTGAGTGTTGCTTGATTTTCTCCCTCTGTTTAATACCCATTTTTCCTCAGAACCACAGTGTTTGGGTTTGGTTGTCTGCTGTAGCAGGCCTCCGTGGAGAACGTTCCTGCCTCAGCCAAGGAAGGTGCTTATTCTCCTGCCCTTAGAATAAATTTACTTCCTACATGCCCTCAGGGGAAATGATGAAATTGTTCTGAGACTGTTTGGAAGTGACTGTCAGTTTTTAAAACGTTCTTTATAATGTATTCATTTAAGATGAATTCACAGTCTGTCATTGACTTCTAATTTGATCATTCCTGAAGCTCTTGAATTTTCCAGACTTGACCTAGGAAAGAAAAAAATTTTCTTCTGCATTTAAAGAAATCGTTTTAGGAGTTAAAACTTATGAGTGCGACGTTAGCGTGAAGGCCTGGAGGGACAGCTTTCTTAGCTTCCTTGCTCCTTCTGACCTGGAGTCATCATTAAAGTCTCAGACAAACCTGGATAGAGAATTAATTCCTGCTCAGTGGTTAGCGGAGTATAAAGATCCCGAGAGAGTCGTGGGCGTAGGAGGAAAGCTCATCTGTGGACTTGTGATTTACTCAGCGGGGGCAGGAGAATGAGATGACGGCAAAGCAGCTAAAACAGGGCCCTGCTCTTGATCAGTTCCTGGTGCACG